TCTGTAATAGCCTGCTTCCTGCAATCTAGAGATGTGTTGGATTTCTATTATCATGTTGGCTGGGGATGATGGGTATGGGAGACCAACATATTGGGTGAGCAGCAGATTAGGGAAGGCAGTATCTTGACTTTAGCTTAGCCCAACCCTCTTGGCATTTTTTTTTTGATGTGAAAACTTACACACACACAAACACTACATCTGAATCATACACATCACTCTTCAAGAAAGCAGAGGCATATTTGATTGATTGATGAATAGATGGTATCGTAAGATACAAGACAGAAAATATGAATGGACTGTTATGTCTGCTGTTACACAATCACTTGAGAATGAGTCATTAAAAACATTGCTTGGGTTGAGGATAAATTATTCTGAGCTTTAGCAGAAAAGAACAGAACTACTGCTGTTTATTTCATTCTGAGCTTGAAATTTTGGGTTGAATGGTTCAAAGGTCCTTTTGCTTTGTTAGCTATTATCCTTTAGCAAGCCACAAGACCCTGCCTAACCCAGGAAGGTAATATTTTACCCTGGTGACAAGAATACAGTGATTAATTAAGAGAGAATTTGTAAATCATTTTGCAAGCATGTGCTGTGTGGGTCTCATTATTACAATCACATCCTAATTAGCAGTTAATTAAAACTTGATTGCGAAATATTACTAATTATTATTATTCATAAATGGTACACTTGTGGGAATGGCAGAACCATCAGGAGCTGCTTCTGTATGATAAGTGATAGGAGGTTCCTAATTTCTCTATTAATATTTATCTCTTTCTCAAAAAAAGTTCTCATTTTGTGGGAGCGCAGTGGGAAAGAGTCTCGATTACATTATTTTGGTGAAATGGATCTTTTTTTGGCTCTCAGGTTAACAAAAATATCTCTTTATTTTCATTCTATTCTTTTGCATGCATAGATATTGTTTTCCAGACAAAGGTGATAATACAAGCTTTAGGGCAGAGATATACAATCCCATGTCCAATCAACAGCCAAAGTATTGCCCACACCCCATTTATTATTAAAGAGGTATTATCATCATGATAGGGATTTCCAATATCCTGAAGGTACACTATTGTATATTTCTATCTTCTTGGTTTTCATGATTAAATTCAAATAAAAAGTCCCACAGGAAAAAAGGTACTAAAACCTTAAGATGCCAGTAATATAGTAGGCACAGAGACATAGACCTGTCTTTATGCTATAACTCATCCACMCATATATAGGAGGGACAGGCCCCCATGTMACTATGAACATCAGGGATGTAAATCTTTCTTTAGTTCATGTGAACATATAGGAACAGAAAAATTCAGTTAGCCCCCCCCCCCCCCCCAGTGGACAAAATTACAACAATTTTGATGGTTTTCTTACATGCAGAGATTTTACTGCAAATGTTTTATTTGCACAGAAACAATGGGGATATTTTTGCACAAAAATGTTTTTGGTGTCAAACATGATTTTTTTTGTGCAACTTATCCCTTCTCATATTTATGTGTAAACAATGTTTTTGTAAAAAAGCAACAAAATATGAAAAAAAGCCTCACTTTCTAAACAAGTTGTCTTGGCATATCTTGAAGCAGCCTTTTAAATTGAAGGTGTAAACAACTGTAAGCATTCTTTACCTTTCCAAGAAATACAATAAAGACAAGAGGAAAGATTTGGGCATGGGGAGGAAAAGACCCTGTCTAGTGAGCCCAAGATACAAGCTGTGGAATGATGATCCACCTTTTGGCTATTGAGCAGCTATAGTTCCAGACATAGCAGAATAGCACTGTGCTTTATTGGCTAGAGGTAAAAAAAAAAAACATAATACACACACCCACCAGATTCAATAGTAAAGTCTGGATTGTCTATGTAATTTTATTTCTATTGGTTGTGTATGGTTATGAAAGCTGATCAATGGAAAAAAACTGATAGGAAGAGAATCATCTCATTAGAAAGATGGTGCTGGAGGAGCATTCTGCAGGAACTATGAATGGCCAAAAAGATAAATAAATGGGTTCCAAGCAAATCAAGTCTGAACTCTCCCTAGAAACATGCCATATTAAAATATGCCATATTTTGGACGTATAATGAGAAGACACGATTCACTAGAAAAGATAAGAATGCTTCTCAAGGTATGAGGAAAAAATAAAAATAAAGAAAGATTGCATTACAGATGGATGGAACCAATCATGGAAGCCACAGGACCTGAATCTGAAAGACCTGTTGACACGGTGACTTGAAAGTCTCTCATTCATACATTCACCATACATCAAAGTTGACTTACCAGCAATTAACAACAACATTTGGAAATTGCCTGCTAACATTTTATAATGCTTCCATCTATACTCACTTTTATGATACATCAATAAATTATGAGTCCTTGAAAAACAATGCAATGTGTTTTTCTTTGAGGTCCTAAGTCTCTGTGAAGCTTCAACTGTTATCAAGAAGAGACATAGAGAAGGATTATAACTCTCTTCTTGGGCAAAGTTAATTTCAGAAAGATCTTAATCCACCTGAGAAATTGGAGCTTTCATTAACCACAAACAATAGTGCACAAGATAGATAGTCTGCCCTAGTATAATAATAATAATAATAATAATAATAATAATACTTTATTTATACCCTGCTACCATCTCCCCAAGGGACTTGGTGCGGCTTACATGAGGCCGAGCCCACAACATATTAATAATAAAAACAATAACAATAAGTAATACAAAACAATAAAAATAAAACTCATAACAGAAAATAAGCAGTAAACATTAACAGTAACACAACATCAAGCAGCTTCTTGTGTTCTCCAGGTGTGGAAAGACATTTTCTTAATGTAGTTTGTAGCTTCCAAAACCTTCTTTTGTATAGGCAAGGTATGTTGAATGCATGTCTGTGATACAGAACCTAATTGCAGTATGTCTAGTAAGCTGGCACAGTCCAGCTTGAAGCAATTATCAAGTCATATAGAATTATAAAATTGATAGGGGCCTTTTGGACTAACTGCAGCTCCCAGAATTCCTGACCATTGAACAAGATGGCTAGAACTTCTGAAGTTGGAGGCCCAGGTTGTGCAAGCCTGCACTAGTCCATGCAGGATCTCCAGCTAAAGCAGCTATTCTTCAATGGAGACACATTGGTTCGGCCTCTTTCTAAATTAGCCTGACATAGTACCAGAAGTCTAACTGCCTATCTTGAAGGAATTGCTTCCCACTGCATAGTTTTAAGCACCAAAAGCCTTCAGCTTCAATAGTTCCTCAGAATGGTCTGACTTTGCTTGTTTCCACATAGTTTATAAAAACATAAGGAAACTGAAGAAATTCAGAATAGCTGTCTCCTCGATCTATGGAGACAGAAGCATTCCACATTTTCATATCTTTTACAGACAAGATAGAACAACCACATGAAGAAAATCCATCCACCCATCTTGATCCATCAGCAGATGAACCCATTCATCTGCTGTCTAGTCGTGTCTGACTCTGGGGGTTGGTGCTCATCTCCATTTATAAGGCAAAGAGCCGGAATCATCCTTAGACGCCTCCTAGGTCATGTGGCCAACATGACTGGATGGAGTGGTGTTACCTTCCCGCTGGAGTGAATCATAGAATCATGGAAGAGACCACAACAGACATCCAGTCCAACCCCCTGCCATATAAGAAGACATAATCAAAGCACCCTAATAGATGGCCATTCAGGTTCAACTTGAAAATCTCCAGAGAAGAAGACTCCACACTTTGAGACAGCATATTCCACTGATGAACAGCCCTTAATCATCAGGAAGTTCTTCCTAATGTCTAAAGTTTTTCAAAGAAAGAAAGAAAGAAAAGAAAAGAAAAGAAAAGAAAAGAAAAGAAAGACTTGAAGGTTGTAATTGGAAGAGAAGACCTGGTTCATGAGAAGTATCATTTACAATGTCAGCCAAGGAAGACTAAAGAATGGAAAAAATAGGTTGGCAGAAACAGGACTTAACAGCAGGAGCTCACACTGTTCCCAGATTTGAACCACCAACTTTTTGGTCAGTAAGTTCAGAAGCTCAGTGGTTTAACCTGCTGCACCACCAGGAGGCCCTAAATGAAGAGTATCTCCTCACATTCTTAGCAGGGGTGAGTTTGCATGGGAAAATACGATTCTTCAGGTAGTCTGGACTGAATTCAAATTCATGATCCCTCAGACTGTTAGGAGACTGGACTATAGTTTGAAAAAAACATGAACAACTAGTGCATAATATATATTATTTGTAGTGCAAAAAATATGAAAGAACAATACAATATTTTAACAGGATGACATCGGAGATTACATGTTTTATTGGCTATATATATGTTTTTATATTATTATGTTGATTGTTTTTAATTGCTCTAATTGCTCTTTTGTGAATGTTTGGCATTGAATTGTGCCAGCCTGTAATCTGCCTTGAGTCGCCGTATGGCTGAGAAAGGTGGGCTATAAATAGTGTAAAATAAATAAATAAATAAACAAACCAACATGAGAGAGAGATACCAAAAGAGAGCCAGGTAATTAGTAGGGTCAAGTTGTCCAGAAACCAATTGGTTTTGAAGACTTTTTTAACAGAATATATTTTATTGTAAAAAGGATCAAAGTGGCAGAAAGAAAGATAAGTGAAATAAACTTTAATTGCAGCATTGCTGGTACTGTGCCCAGTTTGAAGTAGACTCTCATTCTAGATTGTCCCTTAATTAAATAAAACTGTTCTTCAATGAGGACACACTGGTCTGGCCTGGCCTCTGTCTGAAATAATCTGACATTGCCCCTCCAGCTGTGATTAGACTGTGACTCCTCTGATGTCTCACCGTTGAGGCTGATCTAAGTTGCAGTGCGGCCACATCTGAAGGACTACATTATTACCATTCCTTATATAATGACTGTGTTGCTGGTCCTTCTCTATCACAGATGAGCACACAGAACAGCCTCGTGTAACTGAGTTAGAATGGAGATTTAACAACAGAGAAAAACATGAGAATAAAGGTATTGAGAAGTGATACAGAGAACAGTAAAAAAACCAAAAATCTTACATGCTCCTCTTCAAATTGGTCTCCACCGAATGCTGCCACACAGGGTTTGATACCGCCTGTTCCAAGAGCAATCAGGGTCAGGCCCGTCATTGAGAGAACCCTTGAAACAGGGATGAAAACCTCAGCACCAGAGAAAGGTTGGAAGGGAACAATCAAAGCCCCTTTAATTGCACACCAAAATAACCTGAAGCATATTTGTCATGAAGTCAAATCAGGCTTGATAATAAATCTATGATAACCACATTCTTATTGCAAGAAAACACAAGGCTGCTGCAGGAGGCAAATAATATTGCTCACTTGAGACCATTTTGCATGGCTCCTTTGGCAGTGTTTCCCAAATTCTGTTCTTCCAAGTGTTTTAGACATCAATTCCCAGAATCTCAGATTGTTGGTCAAGGCAGTTAAGGCTCCAGTAAGTGGGACAAAGCAGCCCAGGAAAGTCTGGATTTCAATGATTCCTCACAAAAGAGTTCACCAGAAAGTCTAAAGTTTGCTAGTGGGTAGACGGGAATCAATCCACCATGTCAGAAAAATCAATTGATGGGGTGTATTTTGGAAAAGTGCAAAACTCTACAGCTTTTCTGCAGTTTTGTAGGCACTGCTATCATCCTGATTCACCAGAATTTCCTGAGGCACCCACTCTCTTCCCAAGCACTACCCACTACTATTTGAGTCTGCCCCTGACATCACTGTGGCCATTAACAGATTCACTCTTTCCTTTCCTTACTGATTGGGTGATACTGTAATGACTCATGTCAGAGCCTGGCACCCCTCCTGCTCCAATGACAGGGAAATCCAATCAACCTTGGAGGGGAAGTGGCGGCTGCTTAGCTATAATCCAGAAAGGAGAATAAGGCCTTTTTCTTGCTATGCAATCATTGGCTGAACAGGTTGGTTCTCAGTCCACTATAACATCACCAGGTAAACCCTGTCACGTTCTTACTAGCTACTGGTGGGGGCACCTGAAAAAGAATGTGTGTGTAATGGGACAAGCAAGAAATCAGCCATCCAAAAATGCCCTTGTATAATGGGCTGATATGCATGTCGCCACTGCAGGAGTGTAGAGTATGCTACTTCAGGGTGCTTTGCCACCAGGAAGTTGACACTGCATCAAGGATGAATGGGGCCTCAAGCATGATCCAGATATCCAGAAAAATCCCATTATGCATTCTGGAATGAGAATGTGCAATATGCTGCCAAAGGAAGGCTGCTTATGTGTTTCTTTAATGAGATTTAGGTAGCTTTGCAGATCTTATTTATTTAGGCAAGCTTTTGAGAGCTGAGCTGTTCAAAGTGATTAACTGGGGTTGTCTCCTAAATGGAATTTGGATTCATGCAGTTGCTGCTTTATATTTACTTTTATTATTTTGGCTTGTTTATTTATTACACCTAGAAACCGCCCAATACTAAAAATTCACAGGGCAGGGCAATGGTAAATGAAACAATGTGATATCCAGCATCACTGCATAAAATTCAATTTTAGTTGAGTCACAGTGGTTTCATTGGTTAATTACAATAATATAGAGAGTGGATTTTTTTAAAAAAATTCCACACAGCTGAATAAAATTCCACATTTTCTGCTTTGAACTGGGATATATGGCAGTGTGGACTCAGATAACTCAGTTCAAAGCAGACATTGTAATTTTTTCTGGCTTGATATTGTGGGTTATATGGCTGTGTGGAAGGCCCTGGGATACAGGCTTTGGCAGCACTCCTGAAAGTCATTGTGTTATAGAGTGTTGTATGGTATTGCTATGGTTGACTAAGGAGCGGGAAGATCTGCCAGCATTACTAAGAATCTCAATAGCATCTTGGAGCCCCCGGTGGCGCAGTGGGTTAAAGCACTGTGCTGGCAGGATTGAAGACCAACAGGTCGCAGGTTCGAATCCGGGGAGAGGCGGATGAGCTCCCTCTATCAGATCCAGCTCCTCATGTGGGGACATGAGAGAAGCCTCCCACAAGGATGATAAAAACATCAAATCATCCGGGCGTCCCCTGGGCAACGTCCTTGCAGACGGCCAATTCTCTCACAACAGGAGCATCTTCTGACACGACAAAAAAAAAATAACATCTTCATTCTGCCCTAGTTCCCTGCTGACTAACAAATTATGATCTTTTTCTTCTATCATGGAAATTTGTGTCCTTTTTTGTACATTAAAAACCCTTCCCTGTTTATACACATTATACTAATTTTAAAGACAGGTTAATACATGTTCTCTGTTGTGCCAACATGACTGTGTGGAGCTTTCAAATATACCCATTGAAGCTGTACACATTTTTTAAAATGTATGCATAGCTCCATGTACATTCTTCTAGACTGAAACACATTGTGAGCATCAGAAATATAGAGATCTCTGGGGCAAGGTATGTTTTGTCTGATCTTGTATCGTGTAGCAAGAGCACAATAAAAGAACGAGACTGCTGTGTCTCTGGCATATATCTTAATGAGATCCTCTGGAACAAATAAGTTACTGAGGATCAACACTAAAAGACTTAAGGAGAGATGGAAAACATTGAAATTTAATCAATTCTGGACAGAATGGTTTTCTTCCCACAGTGTAAGTAAGACATTACTGCAACAAATGAATCACAGTATTACTGTCCTAACCTACTGACAAACCTTCAAAGTATCAATGAATTGGCCTATGTGTTGAGTCCACCACACAGATCAGCAGCCCTACCTCCCATCTGTTGTTCAGTACAGGTTCTTTCACACTACACAATTATAGTGCCACGATTCTACATTTACTGCCCCAGTTCCAATCCAATGGATTACTGGGATTTGGATTTAGAGTTCTCAACCAGAGAGCAACTCTGGTGCCTCTGACAAAGCTACAGCTCTCAGAATCCCAAAGGATGCAGCCATGAATGTTAATGTGGAATTATAGTAGTATAACTATGTACTGTGAAAGGGCCCTAGAGCTCACTGTAGTTGTTGAGCTATCTCCCAACAAGTTTCTTTGTCAATGTGGCGAATGCTACTTGGAAGAACTGGGCAGGCTGGGTTGGGGTCAGGCAATCACAGCTCAGGGAATGCTGTGAAGATGAGCCTAAGGCAGGGGTCCTCAAACTTTTTAAACAGAGGGCCAGGTCACAGTCCCTCAAACTATTGGAGGGCAGGATTATAATTTGAAAAAAAAAGAATTCCTATGCACACTGCACATATCTTATTTGTAATGCAAAAGACACTTAAAAACAATACAATAATTAAAATGAAGAACAATGTTAACAAATATAAACTTATTAGTATTTCAATGGGAAGTGTGGACCTGCTTTTGGCTGACGAGATAGGGTTGTTGTTGTCGACTTAGGTTGACCCTGAGCGAGGGCCAGGTAAATGACCTTGGAGGGCCGTATTTGGCCCTCGGACCATAGTTTGAGGACCCCTGGCCTAAGGGGTAGAAAGGATACAAAACTGGGGTTTGTCTCTGATAGAAAGCAGATAGAGAAAAGCTGTAATCGCTCTTGGACAGTCAACCAGTTGGAATTTGAATAGGATTTGACGATGCTATGAATGATTCAGTAATTAAAGGGTGAATGTTTGATCTAATTGTAAAATATATCTATACCATATTTGTTCAATTGTAAGACACCACTGATTTTAAGATGCACCCTAATTTTAGTACCACCACAACCAATAAAAATACATAAGATAAACCTGCAATTTTAAGGCACACCCTATTTTTAGAGCTATTTGTATAAATTGTAAAGTGCAAGTTAGAACTGAAGAAATGTAGTAAATAAATGTCTACTTGTTTATTCTTTTTTTTTTTTTGCAACTGTGCCTGGCTCTTCCAGTTAAGTTTTGACAGTGATCCAATTGAAGAACACATCTACTGATCCTTAAAAGGGTCACTTTGAGGCCCATGCACTTGATTCAGGGAGGGATCTTGAGGGGAAAGGGAGCAAAGTGAGTGGCAGGAACCAATGACTTGGGTCTGAGAGGCTATTTTGGGAAGATCATCTGGTGTATATACATCCATACATACATTCAATACATTGCACTACATCAGGATGGGATTTCTACGGTTCTCTAGATATTTTTGGATAGAAAGCTCCATCACCTCTAATTTTTCATTAGCATGATTAGGAATGATGGGGAGTGGAATCCAACAAGTCATTCATTGCTGTACTACATGACATGGTGGAGAGAAGAAATTCAATTCTGATGCTATGATGCAATGTTTCAGACTGAACAAGGGTATGCATGCAAGTATATACCTTTTGGGTTGTTGTAGGTTTTTTGGGCTATATGGCCATGTTCTAGAAGCATTCTTTCCTGATGTTTTGCCTGCATCTATGGCAGGCATTCTCAGAGGTTGTGAGGCGGGCATCCTCAGAGGTTGTGAAGACCTCACAACCTCTGGGGATGCCTGCCATAGATGTAGGTGAAACATCAGGAGAGAATGCTTCTAGAACATGGCCATAAAGCCCAAAAAACCTACAACAACCCAGTGATTCCGGCCACGAAAGCCTTCGACAATATATACCTTTTATTTCAGAGATTTGGAGGAGTGGCGCTTGAACCTTGCTTTTTCGGGCAAAACCAAATCAGCCATTTATGCCTGCTCTCCATGGGTTTGGATGGCAATATAAGTGGGCCTGGGGCGAGATTTGCCTGCTTCTCATTGCATTATATGAGATTGGTCCAGCCAGTGCCATGGCTGCCTCTGAATGGAGGCTATGATGGAATGAGGTTTGACGCATTGCATTTTGAGAGACTGACTGAAGGCTGGTGGGCTTTCTATCATAGCTCCCTGGCAGCTTTAAAGACTGCAGTGTCCAGACAAAGTTGGAATAAAACACCATTGTGCCAATAGAACAAAAGGCCTGACAGGGAGCTACATAATGCTTCTTGCAAGGTGCATCTGAGAAATACACACATTAATACAAGTTAATTAATAATAACGTTATCAAAACACAGCAGGCTCATTTCTTCATTACTTACACATGAACAACCTGGTTTCCCAAATTCGGTATTGCCCCGACTGACTTGATCAAGTGCCCAATAACGTAAACAATGGAGAGATAAATGATTGTTCTGTGGCAGAAGAGAGAAAAAGTGGGAAAACACTATCAGCCAATGGCAGTGTCATAATTTATAATCTGAAAACAGAATGTGTGTCTGCATTTCCTGATAGGGAAAGGGGCAAGCATGTTTGTTTGTTTGTTTGTTTTTTTGTTATCTGGCTTTCCACCAGAACTGTAACTTCTGTTTCCCCATCATTCTTCAAAGTGTTGGAGAAAAACTATGGCTGAGTCTATGCCGATGTACGCAGCGATTCCAGCTGCAGCAGATTGTATTTCATTCCTCTTGTAGTGACTCCATGGGTCACCCAGATCTCTCCTAACAGAAAGCACAAATCTTGAGCGATATGTAGGAGCAGGGCTTGGTTGTTATTAACATGTGTGCATGAAATCCAGAGAAATGTCAGTGATCTTAAAACTCACTGAAAACAATGATGTGTGAGGAAAGTGGAACTGCGGAGATGGGCTGCACACATTTCAATGAGGCTGTCTGCCAAACTATTCTTGTAAAAATATTCGTATCCTTCTCTGGGCTGCATACAATAACACCAGTTTAAACAGATTAAAATGAATTGAAATATGAAACTGTCAAAGATAACTTAGGATCTGAAAGCATATCACACTATGTACCAAATTAAAGTAAGTTCAAACCAAATATGTGTACAATGCACAATAAAACCCTTAAACCACCAAAAGCTTTAAACAAACCACATAGACTAGACATGAGAGAGCTGCTGATGTTACCCACATTAATTTAAGTTGTGTGTTGATGGGTCCTCTTTAGAGTTGCCAGGTGTTTCTTATTCTAAGGGTTGTCCTCTAATTAAGGGTTGAAAACTTTTTCTTCTCTATAGCGTACAGAAGATGCTAAAAAGTTGAAGCATTGTCTCTTCATAAAGACAGACATGTAATTTAAGAATATGTACAATATGTTGATTTTGGAAACTGCCCTGAGTCCCTTTGGGGAGATAGAGTGGTCTACAAATAAAGTTTTTTTTATTATTTAAAAAAACATGGCTAAGTAAGCCGATATTTTCAAGTGGTATTCATGTAAAGCACAAATTTGTTAACAACTACTTCCTAATTACCAATGCTGTGTGTCAGGAATGTCAATTGTCCCTTATCACTCTTTTGAAAACCTGGGAACACTCCTCCTCCTTAACCATTAATGTTGGAATGTTTGGCTTTCTTGATCATTTATACTACAATTATCCTACTTCCTTACCATTGGTTATGCTGGCTAGGGCTTCTGGGCACAGGCATGTAGCTGTTATGTATGAATAAACATAACAGTTTAAATAATGTACCAGTAAGGCCTTTTTGCGAACCACCATGAGAATTTCGGGGGGGGGGGGGGCTTGAGGGACTTCAGCCCCCCCCCCCCGAAATTCTCATGGTGGTTCGCGAAAAGGCCTTACTGGTGCATTATTTAAACTGTTATGTTTATTCATATCATGATCTGATCACCATACTCAATATATCCCATATGCATGGGGTATTGGGGTAATGATACAAAAGGTTTGCTAGGGTAGACCCTCTTTCACTCAGACTCAGCCCCCCCCCCAAACAAACTCAGCCCCCCCCCCCCCGAATCGAAATCCTGGCTACGGGCCTGTCTGGGCATCTAAAAGAATGAAGCAATCAATTACTTTATTTATACCTTTAATATCTAAAAGAATGAAGCAATCAATTACTTTATTTATACCTTTCCTTCTCCCCAAGACAGCCTCATCACATTGTGCTAAAATCAGCAGCATGCACTGATTTTAACCCAAGTCACCCATGGAGCTGCTTGGCTCCCATCACATGATGCCTTGCCAGCTCCATGGGTGAAGGAGGGCAGAGTCAGCACATGCCACCAGCAGGGAAACACGGGAGAGTTCCTGTATTGCCATTAAATCTATGCTTCCTTTCATGTGATTGCCATCCCATGGATCTGGGTGATGCGGGGCATGGGGCACTGGATTCCCCACACCCCTCTCCAAAGCGGAGTGTTGTTGCTGCTGTCCACTGACAGCCTGATGACGTGGCGGGATTCAAGGTGCCTAAACATTCTTTGTGCCCTTCTTTATGTATGTGTCACAAAAAAATTAATGTGCAGATTTTATAAATGTGGATTTAATATGATGTGTGGGAATGAATGGAAGAATGGAAGGATGTATGGAGCTAATAATTTTGGAAACACCAGTAAAAGACCCAGGCCTGCAATAACTAACTACCTGCTTGCTGGACTATAATTAAAAGTTGCTAATGAGAAATGAAAAGTAAACTCTGATAAGAACTGGGACAGTGATAACAGAAATGTTTGCAACATTCCTTATATTAAGAAGGAAGGCAACACAAGCCTTGTGTTTGTCAACACCAATCAAGAAGAATCAACATCTGGCCAGGAAACTAAGTTGGAGCCAGGGTGGAAGATATCTATCATTCATTTACAACTTTGGGACTACATCAGCAGAATATTTCTATAAAAGACTCAGACTAATAATTTTCAAAGTGTGGCAGACCTGAGGAGTCTGTTCCACCCGCTATGCTCTGCTCCATGGGAAGGAGAAAGATAGTGTATCTATGGAGAGTGGCAGATTTGCACGGGAGCAGTCTGGTCACTTTGGCCTTCTTTCTCAAGGGAAGAAGAAGAACTGTGCTTTTGGAGTCTTGGAGTTTGTGTTCTACTATATGGAAAATAGAGATCTGGTCCTTGGCATTGTTCTTAGGGAAAGAAGTTTTGGCATTTCAGCGTTTTGAAGTTTTGGCGTTATGGAACTATGCATTGACGGGCTGCAGGAAAGCAGGGTCTGGCCTAACAGGTGCTTCTCCAAGGAAGGAGAAAATTATATGGTAATATTTGAATGCCTGAGGATGAATGCGTGTACATGTGGTGTGAATGTTAAGTAAAACTGTAATTCCCCTATGTTTGTTTGTTAGCCATGTGATTGTAAATCCAATATAGTTGCATAGAATCCGTATGTCTGTATGTCCAATGTCATTCTTTGTCTAAATGTTTTTCTGCAATCTGATATATGCTCTCACACTGGAAATTGCAATAAAAAGAACCTATGCTTCAAAGTTATTGAAAAGTCATTGATGACATGTGTGTGTGTGTGTGTAGTAATATAGCAATGCGTCTCAGAGCAGCACACATCACTGGTGTGTTTAATTATTTTGTTAGGGATACTATATGTTAATACTTGAAACAAAAATAAAAAAATTGGTAAAACCATCATCTTAACAATCTTAATTGTGTTTGATATACCCCAATTCTGATTTTTCCAGTGGTAAATTTGTTTATTAACTTTTTTCCATAATTGATTATAATTTAATTGTGTTAGGTTATTTGTATTTTTGGGGATGTATACCCCCAAATATTTCAGCTTCTTCTCACTTGGATAGTAGGGACAAACAAAAGCAGAGATCCCAAGGGACTATCCAAGATCCTGAAGCTGTTTGGGGAGTTATCCTGGTAAATTCTCTAAAGTTCAAACTAAAACTCAGAACAGATTCACCACCAATGTGGAAGTCAAAACTGTTTTTATGTGATATAGTGATGATTTTGATCTTCAGGAACTCATTGCCACATTATCCAAAAAAAAAAGCGCTAACAGTGTAGTAGTTTGAATGTGGAATACGACTCCAGCAGTTGGACAGCCCCCAAATGGAGGCAGATGTATTGCTCTAAACTAATAAATCAGACATTGGCACCTGGAGCATGCATTTTGTAAACTCAACCACTCTTCAAAATATTTCATTTTACATTGGGTTTTTTTTTAATAATATTCAACCCTCTGCTACTATAGGGATTGCTCCTAAACTTAAAGGGAACAGGGAACTTGATGGCATCTTCATTTATTCAGATCAAAATATGATGTCTTCATTCTTTCTCATCAAAAAGTCCTAGAGTTTCATTGAGACACCTATTGTAACACAACACTGACGCTCGCTTGTTTTATTTCCATTTTGCTTCAATGTTATTTCCTAAGCACTATTTATCCTTTTAAGAAGATGCATTATCATAATTGTAATAATAGGTTTATTACATATCCATTGATATTTGTAGTTAACATTGAAGACATTGTCAAAATTACCACCCAGCAATTCCATAATTTGACACTAATTTTTGGTTTGTCCCTTATTGATTCTCTCATATTAACATCTTGTAATATCTAGAGAGTATCTAATTTTTAAAATGAAACACCTATTTCTCCTACAGCACTGAAATGGTTGAGATTTGAATATGTACAGAACATATTTTATCCTGGCTGGAAAACTAGATTTCACGTCATCACTAGCACATAATATTGGCAACACTTCAACAGATGGTTAAAGATTATTTACAAATATATCTGTAATTAGGGAGCCCCTGGTGGTGCAACGGGTTAAACTGCAGAGATGCTGAACTTGCTGACCGAAAGGTCAGCGGTTCAAATTCGGGGAGCAGGGTGAGCTCCTGCTGTTAGCCCCAGCTTCTGCCAACCTAGCAGTTGTAAAACATGCAAATGGGAGTAGATCAATAGGTACTGCTTTGGCAGGAAGGTAACGGTGCTCCATGCAGTCATGCCGGCCACATGACCTTGGAGGTGTCTATGGACTAAGCCAGCTCTTTGGCTTAGAAATGGAGATGAGCACCACCCCCCAGAGGCAGACATGACTAGACTTAATATCAAAGGGAAACCTTTACCTTTTTTATTTATAATTGGATGCTGAAACACACACACACAAATAATATGGGGCCTACAGTTCTCCAATCCACTTAAATACATTTTTCATTATTGCATGGGGTCTACAGGAGAGGGAGAGTGAATATAAGTAGGTTTACCATCTCCCATGCCCCAATCTCATTCACAAAACCAATAAGATCACACATTTCACCAACACAGCCTCCTTCATGCCCCCTGAGGACAACATACAGCTTTGGTTTCCAAGACGCATAAGCTGCCCAGAGATTCTCAATAAAATGGGATACAAATAACAAAGCAAATAAGTAAATAAACAAATAAATACAAAAAATAATTAATAAGAAAAAAATAATTAAAAATATTAATAAGAAAAAATTATTAATAATAAATAATTTAATAATAATAATTAATAAGAAAAAATGGTGGGGGGAGCCAAAGTCCATCTGCTTGAAATAATTTATTTTATTCTTACTTGTATTTTCCCAGCCAAGAGTCAGCCATGTATGCTCCAAGGACCGGTGTAAAGTAACACAAACTTGAGAAGGCATGGTAGACTGAAGTGGAAGTATTCTCATCCCAATGGAGGAAGTAGAGAAAGTACAAAGTCAGGACAGCTAAGGGGGGGAAAACACAAGAAAAATGAGATAATGGGTTTCATCCATAGGAGGTGAGATCAAATCACATTGTTTGACAATAGTTGGTGGGAGGTTGTGAATAGTTTACCACCTGAGAGAGGGTTTGGCCTTTTACTGTCAGCACAACAGAAATAAATGAGGCTCTACTTTCACTTGGCTTGAAAATGTAGTGGTGAATGATTTCAACTTTTGGGATTTTGGGTTATTATGATAAATAGCATACAGCTTGAACATGGGAGTGGGAGAATGACAACCTATGGTACCAGAGCATCAATCCTGTCTTCCTTAGTCACATTTCTTCCTCATTTTTCCAAACATTCACCATGGACTGCTGGAAGTGTTCCAGTACTGCATATATTGCTCTTCTTAAAGGGAAAGGAAAGTGTGAATTTAAGCACCACGTTTACAAGCCTTCCCTCTACCACATTAACATATTTGTATCAAAGACACTTAAGTCATTTAAGACCATGATTCAAGATCTGAAGGCAAAGGGTTAGACATGGAGTCATTTTAAGTAATTCCTCCAGTTAATTCCTCTTCCAGTCACGCTGCCCTCAGCCTTTTAAAAGGCAAAGCCCATTGTAAAGAGGATCAAATATTTGTAGAAAAATTGAAGACAAATGTTAAAAGATACAAGCGCACCTTTCATGCCATAGTAGGAGAAGCGTTCACAAAATTCATTCACCACAATGAAGGCGATGCTGAGGGGGTAATTGGTGCCACATACTTTCTAAAGAAGGAAAGCAGAAAGAAGCGATGTCACATTTTTTAAAAAGGCATTCTCAGATCAAGTGTACAATTGGCATTAAGAGGAACGCAGAACTGAGAATCCCAGAAACAAAGATACATATGGTACTTATGTTGCAAAGTGGAAAGAGCAAGTATCCCTGGAGAAGGTATTCAAGGAAAACACAAAGCTAACAATAAAGAAGGGCTTGTCTAAAAAAATGGATGATCAACACAGTGAAAAAATGGAGACTGAACATTTGCTCCTGGATACAATTTTCTGCCTATATCAGAAATAAATTTGATTACCTTTGGGCATTACATACAAGTGCAAAAATAGTGTGCATCAATGGTAATGGATGAATGAAGAGCTGAGGATATCTCTTATAAGGAGAGGCATAACCCCCTGTTCTTGTTTATTCGTTCAGTCGCTTCCAACTCTTCGTGATCTCATGGACCAGCCCACACCAGAGCTCCCTCTCAGTTCCTTCAAGGTCAAGCCAGTCACTTCAAGGATACCATCCATCCACCTTGCCCTTGGTCTGCCCCCTTCCATTTTCCCCAGCATCACTATCTTCTTCAAGCTTTTCTGTCTTCTCATGATGTGGCCAAAGTACTTCATCTTTGCCTCTACTATCCTCCCCTCCAATGAGCATTTCAGCTTTATTTCCTGGAATATGGACTGGTTTGAATTTCTTGTTGTCCAAGGCACTCCAACACCACAGTTCAAAAGAGTCTATCTTCCTTCGGTCAGCCTTCCTTATGGTCCAGCTCTTGCATCTATAGGTTACTACAGGGAATACAATTGCTTTAATTATGCGGATCTTTGTTGCCAGTGTGATGTCTCTACTCTTCAATATTTTATTGAGACTGGTAATTGCTCTCCTCCCAAGAAGTAAACATCTTCTGATTTCCTGGTTGCAGTCTGCGTCTGCAGTAATCTCCTCGCCTAGAAATACAAAGTCTGTTACTGCCTCCATGTTTTCTCCCTCTATTTGTCAGTTATCAATCAGACTGGTTGCCATAATATTGGTTTTTTATGTTTAACTGCAACCCAGCTTTTGCACTTTCGTCTTTCACCTTGGTTATAAGGCTCCTTGGCCCCTCCTCAAATAGCTGTTGTTGTCAACAAAATTTTAAAAAGGGAAGAACCTTATATATCAATGTGGAGAGATTTACTGAATGAGGGTGAACAGCAATAGTTTTCTGAAAACACCTTTTTTTCACTCACTTATGAATTCTAATCAAAAAGCACATCTCAAAGTGTGAACCCCATCCATCTGCTAGTTTGCAGAGAGTGCTGTCAAACCAGGAGGGTAAAAATGAAAGGGTAAAGGAACATAATCATTTTAGTGTCAATAGGATCTCCAGATATCGAATGCAAAAGGATGACTACATTCCAACAGCGAAGTAACAGCAATATTGTATTGAGAGCCAAGCCTTTACTTTTGTCCTCAACTTTTGTGAGGCTTCGCTGTACAACAAGGAAACAATGCTAGCTGGCATTTTTCCCAGAACGGCGTTGCATCATGTTTGTAGTGTTTTCCCAGAGCATAAAAAGGAGAAGCGTAACCTACAGCGAACCACAAGTCCATTTTAAATAGCAAAAACAATACATTCATTGTTGCTGACATGAGTCTGACAGCAACTAGCTGTTTAGGTGCGCATCAAGCACTGTTCTGCAAATTTGAAGGCTATATTTATGCACCACAAATTGGAAACTTGTAATGATGTTGCCTTTCTTTAATGTAGTGTTCCTCAAACTGTTCTCCTTCAGGTGTTTTAGACTTCAGCTCCCAGAAGTCCCAGCCATTTTACCAGCTGTTAGGAATTGTGGGAGTTGAAGTCCAAACCATCTGGAGGCACACACTTTGGGAAACTTTGTTTTAATGTCCTTGGCAGGAAAACATTCTTGGAGAATTCCTGGCAGGAAAACTGGTCCCTAGCAGGGAAACTTTCTTGAAGAAGCAGGGATTAACCCATTACAGAAGGGGAGAGCAAATTCAGTAGGCCAGGGCCATTTCCACATTATTGTGACTTTTATAGAAACTCATATTGAGGAAGGGGCAACTCCAGAGACTAGGATGTGGAGCAGTGGATTCAAATTGCAGGAAAAGTGATTCCACCTAAACATTAAGAAGAACTTCCTGATGGTAAAAGCTGTTTGACAATGGAAGATGCTGCCTTGGTGTGAGATGGATTCTCCTTCTCTGGAGGTTTATAAGCAGAGGTTGGATGGCCATCTATTACGAGAGCTTTGATTGTGTGGTCCTGCATGACAGAATGGGGTTGGAATCATGGGAGTTGTAGTTTTATAAGGCCTTAACCTTCTCTGCCAAAGAATGATGGTGCTCACTAAACTATAAATAAGAGACTGTCATAGTATTGAGACATGGCAGTTGAAGTAGAATCAAATTACATTCATTCTACGCTGTGGATTCAACATCATTTTTCTGTCCACATCTTCCTCTCCTTCTCATCATATTTTTTCATCCTCTCCTTCTGGCACACTTGAGTTTTGATAAGATATCAAAGTGATGGTGTGCAAAGTAAATGTGTAAAAAAAAATCCAGGAATGCAAGCATAAAATATGTAGACAATATCCCAAAATTTGTTAGAGAATTCAAATAGTTCTCAAGTGTAAGTGCATAAGATTTTAGCCATTACAGATTGAGCATCTCTATCCAAAATGCTTGAGAAAAGAAGTGTTCCTTATTTCAGTTTTTTTAATGTTGGAATACTTGCACATACACAATGAGCTATCTTGAAAATAAGACCCAATGCTAAACATGAAAATTATGTATGTTTTACCTTACACCTTTAAGGCAATTTCATACACAATGTTTTTATGCATGAAACAAAATTTGAACCTTGAACCATCAGAAAGCAAAGGTGTCACTAACTCAGTATTGTGTGGTTTCAACTCTGTTAAAATTACGAGCTCAGGGCCCAGAGTGTCAAGCTTCCAACGGATCCAATAAAACACAAGCAAGTGAAGGCAAAATCAGAGGCTTTATTCTCAACGGCCAGAGAGGATGTCAGAAGGTATAGCACTCCAAAGAACTGACATACCATAACAGTGAAATCATGGGTTTATTTATAGCACATTTGACAGAAAGACAGTACAGTACAGAATAACTGGAAATTGCTGCACTGGTCCCTCATTGGTCCTGGAGGGTGTGGCTAGCACATGCAGCCTCATTGGAGGAGTCTGCTTATATCTCTGAGGGCCCTTCCAAATAGGCCCCAAAATGCGGGGTGTGTCAGGTTTTTACCAAACAATGTGTCCAAATGACACCTCAGGTAAAAGTGAAATAAATTTGATAACTTATTAGACCCAGGCCTTCCTGAAAAGCCCAAGTCTAATGGTGTATGTGGCCTGTGGGGACTGACTACCAGGTAGTACTGCAACTACCTGGGGGAGTCAGTTCCCACTTCCCATCTTTCTCCTTTGGACTCCATGAGCTCAAAAAGCAAGAGAGAACCCACCCCTCCCCCAAAAACCTGAAAAAGCCCTTAAAAGAAGTAAAAACTTACCAGGCTGCCATGAGGCACCTGCCCCCCACCCTCCTGACATATCATTTCTATGTGCCAGGATCACTGCTGGAGGAGCATCATGGTGACCTGGTGAGTTTTTACTTCTTTTAAGGTCTTTTGTGGGTTGGGTTGAGTGGCCCCATGTCATTCTGGAAGTTACCGAAATTGCATGGAGACACCCAACCAGGAAAGGCCTTTTTTTTGGGCCGGGAGTGGGGACAAAAGCCCACATTGAAGTGGGTTTTTTTAAATTTGCTTCGGCGTGGGTGTTCTCCATCTCTGGAAGTGCCCTGAACCAATCAGAGGTGAGGTGGGAAATTTAATAAACTGTCATTGCATAATCTTGAATATTTGTGTCCTTTTATCAATCTGCCTGTGAAAGAAGCGCGATTGAAAAGGAATGCGGTGGGGCAAGCAATAATGGGCTTAATATTCTGATTTCAGTTGATACAGTGGTGTTAGTCCAGATAAACAATGGGTGTTTAGGGTGATGGCCATCTCAATGGGTGTTGCCAGAAGGAGTCTGGTTTGGGGCATAGAAGAGGAAGCCTTCCCAAAGATAATAGGAGAAACAGAAAAGAGGGCCTAGGGCAAGTCCATTACATGTTTCCCCCAAGTCTCCCAGCTCATTGGGAAAGGATTGTGGCAATTTGGGGGGAGGGGTCATGTTTCATAATTTTGGGGTCTAAGTTTCAATAACATGCGAACAATTTTGGATTTTGGAATATTTTAAAATTTTGAATTCTGAGTAAGGGAGGATCAACCTGTATACAGTAAACAGCTATGTTCTTTCAAAAATGAAAATAGTTTGTAAAATGGATGCCATAGAAATTGTAATAAACATTATAAAATTCATGGGATCACCATAAATCAACAAGAGATTTTAAGGCACATGCACACGCACTAGATGTAAGCAAAAGTTTTAGATGACCCAGTTAGGGCCCAAACAATAATGGTAAGCAAGGAAAACAAAAGTTTAAAAGTTTAGCTACAGTGTGAATTGTTTTAGTCCATAGACTTCTTCAACAAGTCATAGATGTGGACTTGTGGGAACAATATACACAATTTACAATTCATTTTTGGTGGCGATTCTACCATGAACCTAAGAAATTGCACAGATGGCAAAGCTAATGCATTCCTTCACTAGTCCATGAATCTGTCCTGATGACAAACCTACACAGAGTGAAACGGTCTCATCTGATAAAGTTTTAAACAAGAGAGTTTTCCCTAGTGACTATTTTTACATGCCATCCTTGTGTTTCCCCTCTTGTTGCACAAGGCATCAGCCACCAGGGAAATGTATTGCTTATGGGATTATTTTCATTACATTCAAGCCATGGTGTTTTGTCACTGCAAAAGAGAATTTATTTTCCAGGTCCCAACTAACACATCCATTGCTATATCCCAAATGCAGGGTGGAATTTAGGATGTCTTGGCACTGTAGAATGAATGCAGTTTAACTGTTATGGTTCAGTGCTATCGAACAGGGCCGTAGCCAGAAAAAAATTTCGGGAGGGGTTGAAATTTGGGGGAGGTTGAAAATTTCGCGGGGGGGGTTGAAACTTGCCTCCTAGCTCACGCTGAAGCAAAGAGCACAGCAGGGGGCAGAGCAGCCTTCAATAGCCTGCAGCTCCACCCCTGTCAACCACCTCCACCAAGTCTGGCCTCCTTAATAAGAGCATTCAACACCACCCCGCCCAACTTGGTTGCTTCGCTACATCGGCTATTGCTGCAAGTAATAACAGTGTGAATAAATTGTCAATATTTGCTTGAGATAGTGCTTGCAGTTCTGGAGGGACTCTAATTTTTTGCATCTCATAGACTTAGCATGAGGATTTGGTTAACCAGTTAAAATTCATGAGTAAACCAGGTTTTTTAAATCTGAAACATTTCGGGGGGGGGTTGAACCCCTAAAACCACCCCCTCGCTACAGGCCTGCTATCGAATCATGAGAGTTGTTTTGCCAAGTAATTAGTCTTCTCTGCCAGAGTGCTGGTGTCTCACCAAACTACAAATCCCAGGATTCCACAGCATTCAGCCATGGCAGTTAAAGAGGTGTCAAACTGCCTTAATTCTACAGTGCAGATATACCCAAATTCACTGCTTCACACAGGACTATGGATGATCACAAACAAGGCATGAACCTTCCTTGACTTCATAATAGTGTACTTACTCAGAATGTTGTGCCTTCTGATTTTTTAAAATGTATTAATTTACTACTTTGATGTCAATAAACTATTTGTTATTAAAAGCTAGCATGGCAGTGAAGTGTTCTTAACCCATCACTGAGCCCATAGGCATTTTAGATAAAAGCAACAGGCTGGTCCAGAGTCTGAGAATGTATGTTTTTACATGCCTTCCAGTCCCTTGCCAATTTTTTGTGGCCCCATAAATTTCATAGGGTATTTTTGGACAAGGAATACTCAAGAGTCACATATGAACCACCTTGAAGATTAAGATCGTCTGGGGAGGCCACCTTCTTCACAAGCATGACTGGTGGAGACAAGAAACAGGGCCTTCTCAGTGGTGGCCTTTGGCTGTGGAACTCCCTCCCCGGTGACATTAGATCAGCCCCCTCCCTTTTTGCCTTCAGAAGGAAAGCAAAAACCTGGCTCTGGGACCAGGCTTTCAGAGTGCAATATAGATCGGATTATGTGCAATGACTATGGAATTGGCCTTGAACCACGATCTTTGGATGACGTGATTTTAATACTGAATGTAATTTTTAAAATGCTTAACTTGTATTAATTTTTACTCAACTGATTTTAAGTTTTTAATGTCTGTAAATGTTGCAAGGCATTGAATAATTGCCATATGTAAGCTGCCCTTCAGGGTAGAGAAAGATAGGGCATAAATAGGGTAAATAAATAAAATAAATAAATAAGAGGTGATTTTGTCAGTTCCTCCCTCTGAAATATTGCTATAGCATTTTGTATTCCTTGGCAATCTCCTATCCAAGTGCTAAGCAGGGCTTTCTCTGCTTAGCTTCTATCACAACAGTTCTACCAGGTCCAGTCCTACCATTAAGCAAAAACTGGATCTACACTGCCATATAATAATGCAGAACCATATAATGCAGTTCATGGCAATTCAAAATCCAGCCATTGTGAGGAAGCCACTTCAACAATAGATTCATGAAAATGTAACAAATGTAATAGTTTAATTGGCTAAAAATCTTTTTTTTTACTTTCCAGGAGGCAGGGGAGTGTTTGTGTCTCACATGCCAAAATAACCTGGCTGGCGTCAAGTACTGTACGTACCTAAATTATGGTATTGTTTGCTGTTCTGCCTCAGACAGCAAACTGACCTCAGTCAGCTCTGATTTTTTTTACTCTTGCAGCAACCTGTAAACAATCTTCCTGTTCAATAAAACTGCCATAATAAGTCACACTGTTAAAGTGGACCAGGGGCTATACCACTATAACTCAGTACTGGTTTTAGCAATGCAATACAGGGCTTAGCAGAAGATAGGTTTGGATATCCAAGTAGAATTCCAGGTTATTTGAATTAGCTCACCAAGATTTCTGACCCTCAATAATTTGACTATAGAAGTAAATCCTTCATCAGTCACCCCAAGAAATTAGGAAGGGGGAACAAGGAATTAATGACAACAGGAATCTGAATTTAGAAATGTGTCACTGTGTAACTGAATTTGGGAAATGCCCCCCTAATTCAAATATACCAAGCAAAGGTGAGTGCTACCTGATTCTCCCTTCTATATCTACTGTTCCTCCTTACTTTCAAAAGAGAACATTCTGACAATGCATTTTCCAGACAGAAAGCAAGAACTACCATGGCAACTCCTTTGGTTTTTCCCCACCCTTTATCTTGCCTGAGCTGCCTTTTTAGTCGATTGAATGGGTGAATGAGCCAGCAGCTCTTTCTGAACTTCTAATGCTAATACTAACCCTAGGCAAGGAACGGAGTTTGTCCGAGGCCAAAACGCAACAGGGAGAAAGAATTTTTCCAGTGGAGTTCAAAGGAAGTAAAAACACCAAATACTCACCGAGGATTTTTTCATAGGAGGACAAATTCCTTTGGGAGGATTATCTCCTGCAGAAACAGAAGTGAACAAAGTTTCCTTAGATTCTCTTTTCTGTAAGAGGTCCATCCTGCTCTCTCTTTTTTCACCTCCGTTTTGGTCAATTTGCCTCACATAGCTCTTTGCTGCCGTGGTGAGTTGTCTGGGAAGACTTCCAACAGTATGGCTTGGAGTTTTGTTCAGATTTTAAGTTAACCCTGATTGTGCATGTTTCTGCCACACTGGGGCCAGGAGGACAGTGTTACTAGGAAGGAGGATCACAACAATAAATTGGAGACATCCAGCTGGAAGGTTGCAGCCAGGGCTGTCCTCCTCGGAGATGGTAAACTGGGCTGCACAGTTGCAACTGCAGTGACACACTTCAGATCCTCTAAGTGCCCAAAAGGTTGAATCAGACAAAATTGCAGCCTGAATGATAAGCCCTATGTTATAATTGGAGCAAGGTTGGTGGCTTTGGGCCAATTCCGCTATAATAGTAGGCTTATTCGGCAGGAACCATAGGCATCCTTGCGTACTTGAAACTAGCTGCCTCGAGCAAAATGAGGCACTGAGGACACTGGGCAAATGAGCTCCATGTGGTTTGCACTTAGATTGCTGCATTTGCCCTTAACGTTTTTGTGTTTCACTAATAAACTCTTTCCTGATAAGCCTGTAAATAAAAAAAACATGACTCAACCATAACAAATACATACTTACAGTAAACAATTAGATAGCTTCCTTCATTTCTCTATGTTCGTTTGAATGAGAAGGTGGTCGTCAGCATATCTGCATGAATGCTTCTTAAGCTATCTGATGTTGCACTTTCCCTGGCTCTACTTAGGATTCATTGCACTTAGTAATTATGAACCAAATCCAGCACATTATTTGCTCAGCCATGATATTGCTTTTAATTGTTTTTATAATGTTGTTTGACTTTATGTTTATTGAAGTTTGATATTGCTTGTTTTTGATGCTTATTTTAACCTGGTTTGTTGGGTCCCTTCAGGGAGATGGAAGCGGTGTATAAACATAAAGTTGTTGTTATTGTTGTTGTTGTTGTTGTTATGTAGTGGACTTTCAGGGTTTTTTTCTCAAATGTGCAAGAGGTCAGCATTGTCTTCATTTTCCAGGAAAATTACATGTGACTGATTGACAATACCTAGTAGACAGGTGCAAGTCCATGGACCGCTACTTTGACTAGTCCAACTAGTAAAGGTCTAAAGGTGTATTTTCATATACTTCTCATAAGAGGGAATGGATGGGGCTTCTTTACATTTGAGCTTGTGTTTTGTGCTGTTTTTCAGACAGAGCTGTTCATTATAGCATATTATATCTTATGGGTCGGGAGTGGATAACAATTACATTACATATACGGGCAGTCCTGAAGTTATGAACAAGATAGGTTCTGTAGGTTTGTTCTTAAGCTGAATTTGAACAGATATAACTCCAGCCATTGCTGTCTGTGCCCCTGTCCAGAAGATTTCCATCCCTGTAGAAATGGGATTTTGAAAAATTGGCTTGTTGTGAAAACAAGGATTGGTGATAAAGCTTCAGTGGAGACACCTTTTCCTTGTGATAACTTTTTCAGGGGGTACTTGGGGTAGATTTTTTTCACTTTCTCTCACTTCCTGTTGTCTCACCCTCATTCTTAACTATGAGTCATCTGTAAGTCAGATGTTTGTAACTTGGGGACTGCCTGTAGTCCATGCTTCTGCAGAAAGCATGTAAGTAGGAAAGGATTGCACAGAGTGACTGAAAGTGTATAAATTGAAATTCCCCTCAAAATTCAAATGTATTTGGTTGGATTTCTTTTTGTTTTCCTCCAGATTTGATGAATCATGTCATCTCCCACCTTAGCCCCCCACCCTGGAGGGGAAAGTTATTTAACTTTCCTTTGCTCATCTTTAATCATTATACATCATTATACATGAAACACAAGACAAGTGATAGCCACACTAGTCTATTTTAGCATTAAAAGGCATAAAGAAATCCAGAAACACTTTTGAGATTAAACAGTTGATTTTAGTAGAAGCTCTTGTGGAATCTAGTTCACTGTCTTTGATACAGTGGACTGAAGTCCATAAATGTTTATCTTTGTATAAACCACTTAAACTCAAGGAGTTTAATGGCTTTCTTTATGTTTTTTGGGATTGTTGTGTGCCTTCAAGTTGTTTCTGACATTTTTGTTGTTGTTTATTCATTCAGTCAGTCGCTTCCAACTCTTCGTAACCTCATGGACCTGCCAACCCAAAGGTAAACCTTTCACAGGGTTTTCTTGGCAAGTTTTGTTCAGGGGAGCTTCTTCTGAGGCTGAGAGTATGTGACTTGTCCAAGATCACCCAGCAGGCTGCCATAGCAGAATGGTGATTTGAACCCTGGTCTCCAGAGTCCAAGTCCAATGCTCAGACTCCAACAACATACTGGCTCTCTACTCTTTTAGGACAGAGGGGAAAATTCCAACAATGAAACACACACAAAAATATATGTTTGGGGTTTTCCCTTCCTGAATTTTATTTTAAAATCATTGAACTTAACTCAGAATATTTGGTGCTCTTTAAAAAAAATCCTCAGTCCAAGTGCTATCTATGGTTCAAGTGGAATGCAATCCCAGGTGTCTGAGGTAGATAGAAAATCACTATTATTAGCCTTCAAGTCTGGTCTTGATGTATGATATTTATGCTAGAATGTTCCAATATATTGATTACTAGTCACATAGGCCCAGCTTCTGCCAACCTAGCAGTTCGAAAACATGCAATAGGTACAGCTAACAGTGCTTCAGGTAGTCATGCTGGCCACATGATCTTGGAGGCGTCTATGGACAACGCCAGCTTTTTGGCTTAGAAATGGAGAGGAGCACCACCACCCCAGAGTTGGACACAACTAGACTAAATGTCAGGGAAACCTTTACCTTTAGCTTTTAGTCACATATTATTAACTTAGTCACATCACTGCAGGCATTACAAGGACTAGCTCGTGGTTTTGCTAGCTCTGGAGAGGTAGCATGGGCCAGTAGCTATGCAGCTAAACATTCCTCAGTTCAGATTGGAGATCCACTAGAAACTCATTACCTGGCTTTTTTTCAAGCATGAACCCGCTTGTCAGGCTTGTGGTAAAGGTCACTATAATGGATGAACATGAATTCTCTTTTTAATTAAAGCACAATATAAATATAAAATGTTAATAAGATTCTTATTCTGGTCAGGAATGCAGTGAGAGTAACACAATGAAGGTTTCCTCTAGTGTCACCTCCTTTATGAGTAGCATTTTACTCCCTCCAAGTGAACAGTGTGAGTGTTCCTGCTTTCCCTCCACTTTGTTTGAATCTACACAGCCAAAATAAAGTGGACTCACCACTTAATTGCTGTGCACTACTGGATTTGCAGCAGAATTGCTGCATCCAGGAATACACGTAGAACATGGGATTTGCTCCAGAGTGATCCTGCAGTTTTGGAGGTGTGGACAGCTGCACATCCTGATCCACTGACCACACAGCCAACAGATCCACCGTTGTGTTGCCACTGGCAAGCAACTGTCAAGCTTCTGGAAGGAAGATGCTTGGTGGAAACAACATATTAGTGGTAGCAGCAGCCCCAGTGTGCCCTAAGGCTGGTCATCAAAGTGGCAAGAAAAATGACTCCAGGGATTTGCCTGAACTGCATCAGATCAGCTCTGGTGTGCTTAGATTTATCTAATATGCTTAGATGCCAGCCTTTGTAACCCTGCTCCGCTCCTGTAGCCTATCAAACAATTTTATTGAAGCAGACCATTCTGCAAAATAGCATTCAGGGTCTTCTGAAATGCCCCCTACCTTGTTTCTGGCACTGACACTTTGCAAGGCAAGAAGGCAGGACATATAGCACTCAGAAACAAAGGAAGAGAATGTGGTAGAGAGTGACCCGTTCCTGCAATCTTTTCCCTAGGCAATACCTAATAATGGTTCAGTTCACCCATCTACATCACTGTTACGGGTTTAGAAGTCTAATCATTAGATCTGGCCTTTCTGAAAGATATACTCTAAGTAGAAACACCTCAGGTTTTCTTCTGCTTCAATACAACCTGTTGTCATGTATTAATTGGTCTGTCAGTTCCTGACACTGATGAGCTGATGTCAATGGACAACAGAGTTCCTTACTTGAAGCTGTCACCAAATGGTGCTTTGCTACTCCTGGCTGCAATTAAAGGTTTCACTTATGTACAAGGAGGGCTTGAACACCATAATGCACCAGATGCCACCTGGTCTTGAGGATAAAGCAGGTTGTGTTGAAGCAGAAATAGTAATAGGATGGCTAGTAATAGGATGGGAGTAATAGGATGGGAAACCATCAATTAATATCTCATATTGTAGGCTATATTTCAGATGGAACTGTAAAAACTACACTTGAGTATTTCTTGCCTAAGAAAAAGCCATGAAATTGATTAAGTCACCATAAGTCACGCCAATGCTGTAAATCAAGAAATAGTTTTCTATGATCTACAAAGATATTTGCAGGAACACCTCAGGAAGGTAGAGTCCAAAAGTGGCAGCCTAAAACCTGGAACCTCAATCCATGGCGGATAACAAATGAGAGACTCCCCCCTGGGCATGCAGAAGACTGGGTAACTTGGAAAGCGCTGAACAGACTGTGCTTTGGCACAAGATGCAGAGCCAACCTTAAGAAATGGGGCCACAAAGTGGAGTCCACGACATGCGAGTGTGGAAAAGAGCAAAGCACCGACCACCTATTAAAATGCAACCCGAGCCCTACCCATGCACAATGGCAGACCTTCTTATAGCAACACCAGCAGCACTCCAAGTCAAAGAACATTTAGTTTAATGCCAAGTTTTTAAAAACTTTGGGTGTTTTTAAAAAATACATTACAACTGTACCCTCAGTTCGCTTCTGATATGATAAAAAAAAAACCCATAAGTCAATAGGTGACTTGAAGGCATGCATACAAAAATACAAGGAGATCCTATTGCACAGTATGTGCAAAGAAGGCATGAGAAATGTTTTCTCTTTCAAATTATTTTTGTCTCTTGTCCAACCACTTAGAATCTGGACAAACAGGTTAAAGCATCAGCCAATGGCAATGAAATTTCAGCATAAAGTTCAAAGACTAACCTGTAAAGTCAGTTCCAGAATCAAGTGGCTGCTATCTCTCTAATCTATATACACAGACTCCTCTTTTCATTCCTTTGATCAGTTTTCTGGAGACATCAACTATTATACATCTTTCTTATCAACAATCTCTTACCAGAGTACAAATTATTATTTTTTCTTTTTCTTTTTTCTTTTTTTTAAATTTGACCTTGCATTTAAAAAAAAATATAAAAATGGTCACACAGCATTCCTGTCCTGTTAGCAAGTACAAAAAGCTGCATCTCTTTCCCCCCATCCTGGCATCACTGAATGGCTTGCTAAAAGCCTATGGTCCTAAAGTGGCACAAGAGAGCAATGACCTTTCTCTGGGCAGAGAGTGAAAAGTAATTTTTTAAAAGTAATTTGTTCCATTTAAATTAGTTGTCTAATTTTAAAAATGAATCCATTATCATG